CTCTATAACTATGCTCTTGTTAATCATTCCAACCTGGGTGGCCCTTTATTGCTTTGCTGACATTTTTGAAATAAAAGAAAGTTGGTCCATTTATCATTTTTTGGTTGAATTACTTGAAAGAAGCTTTGTCTCCGCCTCACTTCTTTCTTTTTAGGTTTCTATTACATAATTGCAGTATGTGTCCATGGATTTATGAGAGCATTTTTCACAGTTTTGGTTCAGATTTGCTCTATTTTTCTGCTCATGATCCATCTCTGGGATTTAATCCACCACAGCTCAGCTAAAGTTCATTTTCTGTGTCATGCTGACCCTACAATCTGTGCCACGCCATTCTTCTCTCTCAGACAGTGGCGGTAGCTAAAGCTAAAGCTGCAGAGCCACTTTGGGTTGTTCCCCTTAAGGCATAATTACAAAAAAGGAAAAGAAAAGGAGCCGTGGCTAAAAAAGCCTTGGGTTACACTCAGCTTTGACCGTCTGTTCCCTCTACAGGAGTTTCTTGATCCATTATATCAGGGGAGGGGGATAATGGAGCCTGAGGGAGGGTTGTTGGCCCTAACACGGGGCAGGTCTGAGACGGTGAGAAGGTTATTGGCTGTGTACCGCCGACTCCTGACTCGGCAGGATTCAGTTGACCTCTGCTTTTCATGGTGTGAGAATGCAGTCTTGAACAACTTCTCAAAAGGTTTTCCTTCAGGGTCTTGAGTGGTGTGGGTGAAATGAGCAATGTGGACAATTAAAGGTCAGTCCAGCTTGTACCTGCAAGGGAAAGTCGTGCATTGTAAATCTTTTATTAAAGTAGCAGCTTATTTATCAGCATTTCTGCATCCACTCTTCAAAGCTGAGCAACAAGATGACAACAAACCTCAGAGTATACAAGCACTAATATAAGTACCTGGACCACAGGGACTTTATAGCAACCTCCAAAAAGCCCCTAGCCCCTGTTTGAACAATTTAGAGTACATGGTCATAGAGCACATGGTGCACAGTGTATCAGGGTGCATCCCATCACTAAGCTGGGCATAGGCCAAGAAGAAACAAGGCTCTATTTTTGTGCCTCGCCGGCGGCGTAGACACGAAATAAGTCACGTCTGCCGACAAGGCGTTCCCAAGCACATTTTAGTATTTTGGTGAGCGGCACAGCCCTGCGTAAGTATCCCCCTTCCCTAACTCAGCTCCTCCCAGCGGCGTAAGTTGTAGAGAGGGAGGGGATAAGGCGTGGAGTGGGTTTTACACAGCCGAGACCTGTTTTCACCAATCCCATAAGCTCCTCTCCTCACCTTTAAATCCGCCACGGCGAGGCGTATTACAATTTTCATGAAGTAGTCAAAGAGATCAAGAGATGGCTGAAGACAGCAACGCCACATGATGGAGACAGAAGGCAGCCCCTCAACAAGTGTAGCTGTAAGCGCTGCAGAGGGCGTCCTGCACTCTGTCTCATACAAGCACAGATGGATTTGGTGTTTGTAAGGTTGGACCCACTGGTAAGAGAAACACCATTTTTCACAAATAAAGAGACTCACATAAAGTTGCATATATTTAGACTGTGACAAAGGTGGGTTGTGCGCACAGATCACAACATAAACTCTAATAATGGCATTAAAATCGTAACCATCTGTGCGTAAATGACGCATCACGCTCCATGGCCTGGCTCTTTCTTTCATAGATGTTGGCATATAAAATAAATTTGGCTCACAAAACTGAATATTATAATATTCGTATGAGGGCTTACAGTAAATAACTCATCTGACCACTGAAATAAATCATCTGTTCATCAAGAGATAAGAGGAAGAGGAAAAAAAGAAAGAGGGGGGAGACGAATTAAATATCTCGTTCACTTCATCACCCCCCCTGCCGTGCCGCCACGCCCAGTTTGGAGGACCTCAGTCTACAAAAATACCAAACTGGCTGTGCATTGGGCTCCGCCAGATGAAAATACCACTGCGCAAGGTCCACCACCCTCCGCCACACTGCCGGCGGGCACGAAGATAGAGCCCTTAGTCTCACAATTACTTATAGATAGCTTTGGAGTGCACCATGAGCTGAACCAATCAGGTATTAGCTTACTTGTTATAGCCCTAAAGGTGGGGTAGGCAGGATTCCATTAGAGAAGCATCTTTTTTTGTTGTGTATATTCAAAAAAGCTTTTAATATCAGTCAATAGCTATTAGTTATTGATGACATTAGGTAATACAACAATATCACTGTGTTCTCTTATGTCTGTGTGGTCAACATTTTAAATTTTTTGAGCGGCCCGCTCTTTTTGACCTTAAACAAAGCTATTCTCCGCCTTCCCCAACTTGATAAGTTGTGAAGCAGATGCTGCTCCCTTGTGTTGTGAGGCATGCTCCACATCCTTCAATCAGGACAAGACAAGAACTAAGAAGCATAACATCAGCATAAACAATGGGGATCTTACGGACCCTGAAACCTTTATGCTGGACAGGTAAACCTCTTAAACAAAGTAAGCCAAGTGTCTGTAACAGAAGTGTTTCTTGTCAAACAGGACCTGCTGTGTGTTGTTGTGCTGCTAACCTGTTTACATTAGATCCTATGTCACTTTATTCTAGTTGTAGAAGTCCTGAAAACATTGTGTTTGCTGGTAGTCTGTTGGTATCTACAGTAGCACCAATGCTTTTTACTTTCACGTTGACTGGGCCCCATTTGTAATTATCTGAAGTATTTATCTGCGTTTTATCTGAATCTAATTGGAACGACACAAGCGAGCAGGAGTGTCTGTTTGTGGGAGGGGCTTGCTGGAGCAGAGAGGGAGGCGAGAGGAGGATCTGAGGGGAAAACTGTTTGTGAGGGGTAGTGTTTACATTCAAGATTTTTCCCGAAAACTGGCACTTCCTCAGATCCTGCCTACCCCACCATTAATTCAGTCCATCTTAATGAATGGAGAAGGGGCTTGTTGCCGACCTCTGTAGCAGGGACAGACAAGCGTCTGTCTATAATATGATTATAGTTTGAGCTTTGGCGGGAGTTTGACCTAACTGTGCATGTAAATATACTAAAAGCCAGTACATGGTTGTACCAACTACGCATGAGTTTAGACTTAGTTTGACTGAAATTTCTGATTTAAATTGATGTTCACACACCATTAAAGTTTTTGGGTTACACCGGCTAAGATAGTTTTAACATAAGCATGAGTCACAACTTAAAGCTTTCATACACTGTAGCTCAAGTGTCAAGTTCTCTGTGAATACTGGTTGTCATGGCACATAATTTTTAAAGTGGATTTACGTGGAAGACGACCAGGAGTTCAGTGTTCAAGTTGCTGTTTTGTGTAGGTAATGTGTTTTCTGAGACAGATTTAACAAATTTAAAATACATGAGCATAGACATATTTTCCCCCAATAAATGAAAACACTCTAGTTGGCGCACCTCTAATAATTATCAACTTTGTTATTAATTGCTGCAGTATCATAAAGCTTTGTCATATTTTACACACCTTTCTGTTCCTAGAACTTCACTGTATTTTCCCTCTACACAGGCAAATTGTTAATTCATAAAATACTGATGTAAATATGCTATGTATGGGGAAAAAAGGACTGGTTATAAATATGTTTTCAATATCCTCATATTTGAAACATTTTTACCTATTACATATCAACATAACATTTTCACAGATACTGCAGAAACAATCCTTGAAAGAAACAAATTGGCAGCTCTGTTATTTTACTTCTTTGCAGATGCACAAAGAGAGTTATGTCCTTGTCTGACTTGATTCTCCTCTGTGCACTTGAATAATCCCACTTGGACATGTGTCTGAGGGGAAGGTTACCACGGGTATTGAAACAGTGGAGCTGAGCCTGTCTGCAGTGTGAGTCAACACTATGGAGGTCACTCAGATTTTTCTCCTTCACAAGATGATCACAGATTTTAACTTTGCGAAAGACTGACTAAAAATCTATTAGATACACTGATCCAAAAAAAAAAAAAATACAGTAAAGGCATCACAGTGAGACTTCCAGTATATCGACCTGTCAAGTTAAAAAGCAATAATGATTGTGAATCAATCTCCCCCGCTGTTGTGTAAAATTAAAATAATGATGATAATAATAATTATAATAATAATAATAATAATAATAAAAAAGAGGCAATTAGCAGCCAAGTCCTCATTAAGGAGTGGTTTTACAGGTAGTGCTAAGTCTTGGCTAGATTTGAGTATTTCCAGTGACCTTGCCTCTCGTGGTAGCCTGAGGTGGTATCTGTAGCCCACATAAGTTGTTCAGGAGATGCAGCCCATCTATACCCACTGTGGCCAAAAACTTTTCTGTGTCTCGTAGTACATTGTGAAGAGCATGGAGGAGATATCAGGTCAGCAAGAAGACCACTATCATCTCTCTGCTGCCTGCAACATCCTCCAGCATGACCGGTTTGGCAGTGAGTCAGTGATGGAGGGCTGCACAGACCTTTATGTGCTAGCCAGAGGTATGCTGACTGCTGTTTGGTACCTAGATGAGATCCCCAGACCCGTTGTCACACTGTACGCTGGTGCAATGGGCCCTGAGTTCCTTCTGGTGCATGACTATACCCGGCCTCATGGGGCTGGAGTGTGTCATGAGTTTTTACATGCTAATGACTGGCCTGCTGGTTCCCCAGACCTGAATCCAATCCAGCATTTCTGGGACATCCTGTGTCATTCCATCCACCACCTCTACGTTGCATCACAGACTGTGTAGGAGCAGACGAATGCCCTGATCCAGATTTGGGAGGAGATCCCCCAGGAGACTATCAGTTGCCTTATAAGGTGCATGCCCAGATAATGAAGAGCGTGCATACAGGCTGGGGTGCCGGTAAGGGGGGAAAAATGATAAGTATTCTAGGGGCCCATGATTGAGAGGGGCCCAGAGAGGCCCTGAATAAAGTTATACTGAAAACAAATAACATTACTCTAAGTTATAACTAACGTTTAATCACAAATATTTTAGTGTAATATTTTTGTTTTGGAAACTTTTACGGCCACGGGTCCCCCCTCTCTATTTACGTAAAATGGTTCAGTCCGACCAAATCTGCTGCCTGCAGCGCAGCTGCATATCACAGTCGATGGCACCAGAGCGGCTATGGATCAGCAGAAAAGACAGTCTGCCTCAAAAACCAGGCAGCCAAAAACACAAAGAAAGGAAACGAAGAGAGGAGAAAGATCTAAAGGGTCGACAGTATGTCACCCAGTATTTCACGAAGAAAGGTGGGTTTATCAGTGGTTCATGTAGTGGAAAGCTATGTAATATTAGCTTTGTCCTTGGATGTGGTTTGTAAGCTAGCTCACTTTTCCCCCCATGTCAGCTCAAGAAAACTCTTAATATGTGTGTTTCACTGTTTTTTTAGTTAAATAAGTAATGCAGTCTAACGTTTAGCACGCTGGTTAGATTCAATCAGTTTGTAGCAATCAAGACAACCCTGTATGTGAAACTCACACATTCCTCGCAGGAAACTTTTCTTATCTGGTCCAAGGACACAGGATATAAATCTTTCCAGACTTGTTTGCACTTTCAGGTTACCTAAGTGAAACGACTGGAGGTTGTCCAAACCTCTGACTCTTCACGATTGGTCAATTCGGAGAACAGAGACAGAGTTTTTATTACCTTTTAAACTGACACCATCGCTGACCATCTAAACTAGGGCCCCGGTGGGGCACTGGCGGGCCCTCCCCGCAACCGCCGCCCCCATCGCGGCCCCCCCTCCAGCCGTCGCCCCACGCTCCGGCTCTCGCTTCCCTGCGTCGCTGTCACACCCCGGCTGTCGCCCGCCTCCACTGTCGCCTCACCCGGCCATAGCCCTCCTCTAGTGGTCGTTCGCTGCGTTGCCGTGGCCACGCCCCTCACTCCACACGCGACCTTGTGGAGTTAGAAAGCGAGAAAAAAACCACAGTTGTCCTCCTTCACGTGCCAAGTCTACCTCAATGTGACCTGCAATACTTAGTGTTGTAGCTAGGTGGCGCTGTCACATACAGAGCCAAATTTGGTGTTGATGCGTTGGGGGCCGGACCATTATCAACATACTGAATTTTGGTGAAGGTCGGAGCACGTTTTGGCCGAGTTACTGCCAAATTAGTTGGCACGCCAAAACATGTGACTTGTTTCATCGTCCCAGAAATTTTGAGGCTGATAGATGAAAACATGACAGAGATATAGCCATTTATCAATTGGAACAAAACGATGACTTTGGCAGCCCCTGGAGGCCGAATTGCTCAATATATGCAAACAACCTTCAGAAGTTATATTTTCCATGACGTGTTGGTTGGTATGAGCAAATGTGGTGTTGATCAGACAAAATACGAAAGAGTTAGGAGCTTTGAAAAACCTATGCGAATGAAAAAAAGTGCCTGAACAACCACGAATATCCTGTTGCATGTACGTTTTCAAGAAACGCGAATGGTGAATTTCTGTGCGTCTCAGTGAGGTTTACGAGTGTGTAAAATTTCGTGGAGCTGCGTCAAAAAAAAAAATCATGTTTCTTTGGCGGCCCCTGGTGGCCACATTTTTGAAGTTTTGAAAAAGTTCTTCTAAATTTCTTTTCCCCTCTGAGTTAAGATTGTATGGTGCAAATTTCGTGGCGATCGGACAACATTTTTAAAAACTGCCCGAAACTGAGAATCTATTACAAATAGTTATATTAAAGGAAATACTATAAAATTTATTTATGTCACACACACTCTACAGAGCCAGAGATATGTCAGGGAGGAATGTGGAGGAAGCGGTGGAAGAGGGTAAAGATGAAAGTGAGAGAGCAGAAACACAGGCGGCAGAGAGTGAGGATGAAGATGTTGAAAGGAATTCAGATGTGGAGTTTACTAAATGAGTTTACAGAAAATAACATAAAAATGCATAGTTTTATTTAAAAGAAAAATGCATTCAGGTACGTAGAGGCACTACTGAGCCACATTGTGTGTGGTCCTGAAGAAAGTTTGATCAGCGTGTGATCTCATTTTTCCACTTTGATTGTGAGCAAGATCCTGAATCCAGTCTTCAGTGGGTTAATGGTTTTGGGTTCCATTAAATTGCTCTAACCTAATTTTGCTCTCAGCATATCAAACCATTTAACCCAAAAGAATTTTCAGCTGGGATGTTTCATTCATCGAGATCTGGGATGTATGCCCCATTATGTTTTGAGCAGTGTAATAGGACAAGTTTACAGTTTTCCATTACACCCTGAAGTCTCCTGGGTGCTCTTTGGTTTAACTTCCCCAATCCTAAGAAGAAGAGATTGTGCTTAGTGCTCACATAGAGCTGGTTATTTTGAAGATTATACTATCCATTAGGCCTTGATAGCACCAGACCGAGTTGATCTGACAGAAGAAAATGGAAATGTGCACTGTTTTAGCCCTCTTGAGTCCACCGCTCTGGAGACTGACTGCTAAACGACTGATTTATTCCTCCAAGAGTTAGATATTGATGGGTGCAGATCCATTTAAGGCCTAAGGCAGAAGCCTCAGCTCTGAAAACAGAGGTGCTGTAGTTCAACTTAACTTCTGATATCACACTGAACTTATTTTCCATATGGCCAGACAAGATTTCATGTTAATGGGATTTTGTAGAGGCTTTAATAAAAAATATATTACTGTATGGATTACTGTCCTGCCATGCCTCTATGGGACCTGTGCTCCAAATAAGAAATATTTTTTTCATATAATCAAAAAAAAAGTATAGCACACTATCGCTGCTATGTACAGTAGGTCTAAAACGTGAACATATGCTGTTTATTTTAGGACTAGACGTACACAGCAGCCACAATGTGCTCTGGTCACCAACAAGGGTAAGAAGTAATGCCATCAGGGCTTATGGGGGCTCATAACTGGACTGGGTAGCCTCATAGGTTTCAAGCAATATAAAGTAATCTCTTTTTGAATGCAATAAGCAAATTCTCACCAGTCCTCATGCATCATAATGCACAAGGACGTGGATTATATAGGGGCAGGGAGTCCGAAAAAGTGCACAAAACGAGACCCATTCCTTATTTTTAGTCTGTCATTTGCAACAACAGGGCCCATCACAGACACGTTTAATAAAAATGTATGCTTTGCCCCATGAGATTGTGTCCATGCACATCCGTACTGTAGCTCCAATCCCCACAGGAGCATCCTCTCTGTCTGCATAAACACCACGTCTTAACCCTCACAGTCAAATTAAAAGATAGCAGTGCCGTAAAAATAAAGTTTGATTGATGATTTATAGATGAAGTTAAATCTGGTCTCCTGTGGTGCACATCACCAAGAAGGGTTCCACCAGCTGCTTGACTGACAGCACGAGCCTTCATTAAGCACGCAGGATAAACATATCATACACAGCTGCCACCACTCCTGCAAACACACACCTACACTCTGCGCTAACAATGTATGTTATTTAGGTGAACATCCTTCAGAGCTTGTTGAAAAGCAAATTAAGATAATCCTCTCATATCCTCCCAGCTTTGTCACCTGCTGTATTCCCCATCATAATGACAACATGAGGCATGGCCTCCCTTTAATGGGATTATCCCACATGTTCACTTCAGGTGACATGAAAGCTGCTGGGAATTATCCCGTCAGTGTGTACTATGGCCACATCTGTCAACACGGCCACTACATATGGCTTCTTTTGTTGATAACTTGACTGAAAATAAAATTAACTCTGCCTGATAACATAGCTCCCATCACTTCTTCACTCTAGTTTACCTCAGCTGCACAGGGGAGCAGGCCCTGGGCTGTGCAACACCCAGAGTGTTGTGTATGTTGCCTTTCCCATTGAGTTGAGAAATTGTCCTTCAGCGTAACAATACTGTCATGTCACACATATTCAAGATCAGATTGTCGAGGGAGGGGAAGTGCTATTTGGCCCAGGGCTTGGCTTTTTTTTTTTTAAGTTTCTTTTTCTCTCTACTTACATGGCAGTATGGCAGAGCTGCAATTTCCAATCTTGCAGTCTTTACACATGAGGCGATAGCAAACTAACAGTATTACATTATAATAAGTGTATTGTGATAACCTTGACATTTTTGTACAAACACTGGAAATAAAGGACTTTACCACCAGCTGTTAGTGGACAAGTGCTTGGGTGGAAATATATGTTGCTCAATCTAAATACAGAAAGTGCTCTGCTCCCTTCCTGGCTACAGAGACCAGATTCCAGGTGCTGCTTTTATTAGGGCCCGAGCGTAGCTGCTAAGCAGCTGCGAGAGCCCTCTTGTTCCTGATGGGTTTTTCTTTCTAAATTTTTCCTCCGCTTTAAAGGGGAAAAAAACTCACTTCCCATTGGCGACAACTCATGAAATTTGGCAGGAAGACCGGGCCTGGTGAAAAATTTGATATTCTGAAGTCGCCCAAACAATAAAATGCAAAATGGCTCCATAGCGCCCCCTAAGGTGAAAATTCACCTGACGCCAGTTCGCTTTGTCAAAATGACACAAAATTTGACACACACGTGTATCTCAATAAGATCTACAAAAAAGTCAGCGCGGGCGTATCTGTCAAATGTACGGTTAAAGGGCTACTTCGCATTTTTTGCCGATCCGCACACATTTGAATTTCGCTAACTCCTCCGAAGGCTTTCGTTCTACCGGCACCAAATTTGCTCAGGCCAATCTACACCCCATGGCCATTCAAAGTTGTTCAAATCATGACGCTGCACCCTACGGTTTAGGTTCTAGGGGGCGCCAAAGATAACCCAAAAGTCCACATTCTTAAAAGTCTTATAACTTTTTATTTTTGTCCTCACTGGCCTCCAAGTTTTCTAGGATGATGCAATGTCCAGCCATCAACACATTTGTGAAGTAATTTTTTCTCACCAAAAGAGCGCCCCCCCAAGGCAGGAGAAAAAGTCAAGTTTTTCCTGCCCATCGCTCAATGGCTCAAACACACCGCTCTCTATGCAAAACCGAAAGGAGGAGCAACTTGCCATTTGGATATATCCTAGCTGTGTTTGTGCCCTCACTCATGGTCCAGACTTTTTTCAAATAGGACATGTAGTTTGTCTGCAGCGAGTGTTTTGGTAGAAACTGCGCCTCCCATTCATTATAATGGTAAATGACCACAGACAATCATCTTTGGACCTTGAGTGTGACGTGATCGGGAAAATTGGGAGTGTTTGCTGATCTCCCATGAGCATCACCTTCTGTTGTCAAGAATTAGTAATGAACTTGTTTCTCTTACCTGACTTCTCTTTCGGTGTCTTCCAGCTGCGATGTGTTCTCGGGTGAAGCAGGTTGGACCATAATCACCTTTGTAGGAGTGATGAGATCGACCGAAGGAGCTGCACTGGGATTAAATTCCAAGGGTGTCAGCTGCATTGTGTTCTCGGGTGAAGCAGGTTGGACCATACTCACCTTTGTTTGAGCGATCAGATCGACCAAAGGAGCTGCACTGGGATTGAAATCCAAGGGTCGCACAGATGTACTCGCTCTGGTCTTGGTCTGATTTTCCCTGTTAGAAAGAAAAATTATGTGTTAAACTCATGGGACTGTAGCTAAAAGGTTTGTAAGGACCAATGGCAAAAACAATTCTGGCCTCTCTTTACTTTGATCTTAAAAACAATTGCATGGTTTAAAGAAAATCACACTTACTGGGTGATGAACGGATGTCTGAGGACATCACAGGGAGTGATCCTGTTATATTGACTTAAATTCAACATGGCCTTTATCAGCTTCATGCACTGCTTGAACTGTTGAGGCTCATGTGTGTTCATTCCCTCCTGGTTAAAAAAAAACACAATTAGTCAAGTCATCCTGATGATTCTTTTTTGTTTCTTTTTTTGGGGGGAATGGGAAGTCATGCTTTTCAATAATTAATATTTTTTCCATGTTTCAAAAATTACAACACACACACACACACACTCACATATATATAAAGGGGGTATAAAAGGGACAGCAGCTTAAATAGAGTGTTTAGGACGGCAGCGACAATAATGATATTTTAATATACCACTGTGAGAAATATAGAGTCTGAAAAAAAAAAAATGCATGATACCCCTCCTTTAAACCAATTTAATGGTGAAACATTCCAAACATCACACTTACTTTTTGGAGATCATCCAGGCTGGTAAACTGTCGCCGTAGGCGGTCTTTTACATTGATGCCCCAGTACTCTTTAGGTGTCTGAAAGAAGGTTATATGTTTTATATGAAGGTTATTTTTCCCAACAATGGACATTAGTCCTATTTACATACAAAGATAATGATAAAATAATACTGATAATTGATATAATACCCCTAGTATCCAGCCATTTTTCACGGTCTTCAGAAAATACTCTTTTGTATATTTCCCTTTGTTCAACATATGGTTCGGTGGCTGTCCACAGGTTTCGATGATCTGATAGAGCTGTTAATTAAACACATAAAAACATAAGCACATGCAACACCAACACAACTAGTTTCAACCTGGCTAAAGTGAGAAAATGAGGAAAATATATAAAAACACTTACTATGTCATAAGCAGTTCTTCCTCTAAACAGGAGCCTGTGAGTAAGCATGTAGAACACCATGCAGCCCACTGACCACATGTCGATGGCCTCTGAATATCGTAGACCTAGAATAATCTCCGGAGCTCTATTAATGGAAGAAAAAAAAAAAAGAGAGATAATGTCAGCAACACAATCATAAAGAAGTCAAGACACATGTATTGGTACTGTTTTGTTTCACCCGCGTTTTATTACATGCATGTACATTACCAGCATTTTACTGGGCTTACCTGAAGCACGGAACTTGAAGAATCTCGCCAGTCTGGGTTAGGAAAGTTGATGTGGCAAAGCCAAAGTCGATCAGCTTGACTCTGAAGGGTCGGGTCTTATCCACCAGCATGACGTTGTCTGGTTTTATATCTCTGTGGATAACCCCAATCTTCTTTAAAGCATTCAAGGCTGTGGCAATCTATAAAGAGAACAATAGAAACACATTATAGAGGACTGCAAAAGTTAAACAGACTAATACAATGAAATGAATAATTAAGAATATATATTTGGAGATACAAACTCTTTCTGCAGGATGGTGTGTATACAAACCTGCACAGTGATGGTCCTGATGTCGGACAACATCATTGGTCCGCGTACAACTTCATCTATGTAGCTGTCTATGTCGATACCTAAATTTTCAAAGACCAGCGCTTCCCCATTCATCGTACTGAAGCTTTCATGGAACGTGACAATGTTGTGACGGTTTAGCCCTCGCCTCATCAACATTCTCATCGATTTCATCTGAGGACACAAAGCACATGTTTTAATGTTCATGTTTTAATGTTCACATCTATATTTAGTCAGTCAGTCAGTCAGACTATTACTTCATTCCCAGGTCTTACTTTCTACCTGAACTAAGCCAGAGGTGAGTCAATCACATTTATTAAGATGACCTACACTCAAAAAATGATTCAAGCCACTCTTAGATGTGGCACAAATTAAAATTCAAATTGACTTCCAAATGTTTGATTAAAAAGCAAATGCAGATTTCTCAGTCTCTTTTACCCGTATTGTTTATACTGCAGCTACTGACAGACAACTTAACTATAACTTTGTAAATATACAACACCTGCTGTATCTCCATATGTACAAAATCTGCTGTGAGCTTTCAAAACAAAAATACTTACCTCGCTGTCATGTAACAGTTTCACTTTGGGGATCTTTATGGCCACAGTTTTGTTGGTGTCTGTGTTCAAACACTGTACCACTACCCCAAATGAGCCCTCACCCAAATCTTTCAGGTACGTGTATTTTTTGGGTAGTTCATAGGTTTTGTTGCTATCAAGTGCCATTTTCTCTGTCACTGAGAAGCCAAAAAATAAACAAGCAAACTCGTTTGGACTCTTTTTTTCTTGATGGTAAAGGCTTCTATCTTTCGCTTATAAGCAGTCTGACACTTATCAAACCTCCAGTCAAGAGAATGACGTCATCAAAGAGCAAAGGCTCATGGTGACATCATCATAAGAGAGCAAAGGCTCATTGTGACATCATCCCAATGGAATGGTGTTACCATAGAGCAAAGGCTCATTGTGTTACCATGGCAACGCATTTAGACGTAAACAAATAACCTAAATTCTGACCAGCAGCATTTGTTTTTTTATGATTTATGAAGTGGAAATGCTGATTAAGCCTGTCCACTTATTAGGGCCCGAGCGTAGCTGCTAAGCAGCTGCGAGAGCCCTCTTGTTCCTGATGGATTCTTCTTTCTAAATTTTTCCTTGCCTTTAAACTGGAAAATGGCCCACTTCCCATTGGCGAAAACTCATGAAATTTGGCAGGACGACCGGGCCTGGTGAAAAATTCGATATTCTGAAAAGAAAGCAAGGTCAACCTGTTTAACTAACTGTACAAATCAAAATGATGGGCACCTCTCAATAAATGGGCTTTCTCTGATGGGTTAGGAGCTGTTCATCTTTGGAGTTAAACTGTATATTCTACCACAGGATAAGCGGTTTACATGTTGGTCAAAGAGCTGAATTGGTAGATCAAAGGCATGGTTGACGATCTGAGAAGCAGTTGAAAAAAACTGAGCTGTTGAGGCAGATTTGAAAAAAGCGTTGTACCCCCCCCCCCCCCCCCCCACACACACACACACACACACACACACACACACACACACACACACAAACCTCTCTCCTCTGTGCTCCATGATAGCTCCCCCCTGAACTTGTACTTCAAATAGGATTCACCATGTTGGATTGCTAATGACTAGCGGCAGTAAACGCAAGCTCTGCTGGCGAGCACCACCTGCAGCTGCCCGGACAGCTACCGTGTTGACATTGCAGAGACTAATAAGAGTTATTTATGTAACAAGTGCCACGATAAAAGGAAAAAATAAAAACCTTTTCAACAAAAACTCTGCTGTCTCAGCGCCTGTTTTCAGGTCCAAATCCTGGCGGAGCTTTCCCCACCGCTCGAAGGATTACCCGATGTTTATTTGAGTTAGATTCCACGCTTGGTCACATTTCCTCTTCGTCTTTGCCCTTTCTTCACACTTTTGGCGGTGGGGCAAGCAGAAGTGTTTTTTTTTTCGTTTTTTTTGCGTCCTTCTCCATCACAGCTCCTGTAGCTAATCTGCTACGTTAATGCTACGCCCCTCAGAGCTCCAAGGAGGGCCGGGAGAGTGGGAGGGGATGAGTAGGAACTATGGGAGAGGGGTGTGTCGAATACAGCAAGGTGATTAGATGGAGAGGCTGAGCAGGAGATTGACAAATAGGAGTTGTCTGGGAGGGGTGGCTCCCATTGGTCAATGTTTTTGCAGCCCTGCACCTGCTAGGGTGAACAGATTTTTTCCATTCTTTTTTTCTCTTCACTTTGTGGAGATCACACTATTGGACCATGATCACCATATAAACGAGGTTCATAATAATTAACAATCTCTCCGATCGTCAACCATGCCTTCAATCTGACTGGCTGTTCCAATATCAGATTTTCTTCTCACAATTACAATGGTCATGAAATACAACAGTAACAATATTACCTGAAATGTAAGGAACACCACCTATCCATCTTCTACTGCTTATCTGAGTTAGGTCACAGGGGCAGCAGCCTAAGAAGGGAAGCCCATACTTCCCTCACCTGGCCACTTCATCCAGTTCTTCCCAGGGGGACCCTTAGGACGTGTCCTGAACACCTTAGCAGTGAGGCTCCCAGGAAGCAGACTGGTTAAGACGCCCAACCCACTTCATCACCTCACCAAGCAACACAGTAAATAAAATTAAAGGAGGGGTATAGTGCATTTTTTCAGACTCTGTATTTTCTTTCTGATACCCCTTTAATAACTTAACATGATTTTTTAGATTTAAAAAAAAAAATGTTAAAATATCATTACTTCAGCCTCTGTCTGAAACATTTTGTTTAAGTTGCTGTCTCTTTAAGGCCTCCCCTCCACAAGCTTACTTTCTTCTGTCACCTCATACGATGTTGGAGGCAGGCCGCTCTGCTTTCTCAGAATCACAGATACATGTTTGTCCCAGAGCAGGCTACATTTTCTGTCTAAGATTATGACAAAATATGTTTACCCTGGGATTTTAATACTTTATATACATGAAGTATGGATACCAAACTTTGTAACTTGCAGTTTTGGTTGTAAATGTGGAAACACATGAAATGAACTCCACCTGATAACCTGAAGGCCAAGAACAACATCATTAACAACTCCATACATTTCACTAATAAACACAATTGACTTAAAAGTCATCAACTATTTCTAATTATGACCAAATTGATGGTTTGTCCACACCATTGGCTGTGTCACTTACATTTCTTTGATGATGACATTTGCTCTAACTGTCTTGTAGTGAGGTTGCTTTATATCCTGCATTGTTAAACTTTTATTTTTAAGTAAAAACAACCTCTGGTAGATCTCAATGAAACTGTATGAATACAGCTAAAAGAATGGCTAGAAAGCATTGTGGTTCAATCAAAGAGGTACAAGCTCAGACAGTTTAAACATTTACATCATATCATGCATACCAACACATGGTGCAGTCATTAACTCTTACTTTGAAAGCTCTTATCTGGCCTGTAGTCTGTGTAGTGCTCTGATTGTGTGTTCATGTCTGGTACCTTGAAAATATTACTGTATAAAGCAAGTATGCAGGACCCAACATAGCTCATTAACAGTGAAAACATTTCCTGACAAATTTTCAGTTATTTAAAGTTCATTGTGCTCTTAGTAAAAAAAATCTCTCAGCACACAGATTTTAGCGGCCCTGGGGCGGTTGATCATTTAGCCTGGTTAGTATCCAGCCCTGCTAATGTCTGCTGCTGCTGGTATCCATTTTTCTGCAGAATTAACAAACTAATTTAATTAAGTCAATCCAACTGTGATAAATATTTATTTTGAAAAGCCACAAATTACAGTCTTTTTTTTCTTTTTTTTTGTATTATGATGATAGTGTTTAATATTGTTTTGTTGGAGAATAATCATTTGTATCAAAGTTTCTGTTTTATTTTGGTTTCTCTCATAAAATATTTCATGTTTGAAATGACTGCATCTAAATTATTTTGAAAAAAAAAAACTTTGACCATTCAAATTTGCTAATTGGGAATTGTCAGTTTTAAAGGTCCCATATTACGCTCATTTTCAGCAGGTCCACATAATTTGAAGTTAGTTGTCGTAAAACCCAGTTTGTTCCTGGACTTCAGCCTGCCTGAAACTCTTTCTAGTGAGCTCTCTACCACGAACGAGCCATTTCTGTGCGCCTCATTCAGTGCAAGCCACGCCCCTCCCTGTCTCTCTGGAAGACGTGCTGCTTCATGCAGCCAACAACAGAGCAACTGCCATGCCTTGCTTGTACCTTTGCCATCTTGCGAGGGACAAAAATAGTGTCTGAGTGGACATTTTCGGGCGTGGCAGAACAAACATCTTGGGCAGGGTCAGCAACCTGGAGGGGAGAAGTCAGTGCTGTCCTTGACATCATAGAAGGCGATAGTTTCAATCCGTCTGTTTGAGCAGACATTTTCTGAAAGGTGGAATAAGGGGGACTGGGATTTTCTCATTTGGAGGGTATGTAGACAGGCTTGGATGCATACTATTGTTAGAAAACCACATTTAAGTAATTTTTGCATAATATGGGACCTTTTATGCTGGTGGTCTGTTTGTGTTTTTTTTTTTTTTTTTGTACTTTTCTAGGTCACAGTGTGGCATCAGTTTCAATTTGACTCTGTTTCACAACCATTAACAAAGTCTTCACAAGAGCTTTAATAGAGCTCAGTTAACAGTAATGATAAATAGTAGCACAATCTGTTTCACACAGTTGTCAAGACTTGCACACACAAACGTGAATCTGCAGGTACACTATGTAAATGTGTGAATTTGATGACGCTGAATATTTTCTGAGGTATATGCTAAGACCTGATCCTGATGTGTAAATGTTTTTATTCAAGGTGACACTCCTGAATTCATAAGTGTGGTCCACAGTTAATGTATTCCTGACAGCTTCAGCTGATAAGAATCAAAGGTTCCCATGAGAATCTATTGGAAATGCACACTGGGTCATCTTTGGCCCAGTTTTGGAAGCTCAGGCTAGTGATACAAAATCTGAAAATTTCTTGAAATATTTAAAGGCTGATACTAAGGATGTAAAATATGAAAAGTAAACAAAGATATAGCAGGAAAACGACCTAACAGGGTCATTTAAAAAAAATCTAGTTATGTATCTTAAGGTTTTGAAAACTAAGGGGAATGCTCCTGAGCTTTAATATTGAAAAGCAGGACTCTGAGTCATGAGAATAAATGCAATTCTCACTATTATTCAACCTTTGCAAGCATCTTTTTCAGCCTTATGATTGACCTTCCTTTATTTGCTTGGTCCAGCCATGGGTGCTGGCTTTTATACAAGAATTTTATATGTTTGCATGCTATAAATGAGGCCTATACTTCATTTTAATCAGCATTTAGTTCTTCTGTGATCTCTTTCTCTAGCTTGATAGATTCAAACAACTCTGTAAAACCTTCTGCAGCACAAATCAGGCAAAGCTCTCTCTCCGAGTGAGAGACAGAAAGTAATTTGCTGTGTCATTGGTATTGATCAGCAACCATATTAAAGTCTGCAGACCTTTTATGATTATTTTCTGCTGCGAGGCTCCAAAACTTGTACTCATTGCCCTCATAGAGCATATTTGAGCCGTCAGTGCATCATGTGAAATCACCCAAATATCCTGCAGCCCTAGACTCTCAAACCACAGGAGTGTTTCCTCAATCTCTGAATCACCCTGGGCTTTGCTTGTTTCTCATTTTCATTCTCACAGTTGTGAACCTTGTCTTACTAGCAGGTGGAAAGTAGTG